CTTGGATAACGTGAAAGACATATTTTTGAAATTGTTTAAATTACTTCAAGTTTGATTAAGTGAATGCTGAATTACTAAATTAATTAGTATTGGGCACATTTTCTTTATTAATTTATATTTGTAAATTTATTATCAAATGCATTAACCACCTATTTCATAACAAAAATTTAGTCTGTCTGTGTACAGTGCGTATTGTTGAAATAATAAGCAACTTTTTTGGATTAAACGCTTGTAATAATTATGCGGTTCACATTTTTAATATTGTCTTAAGAAACATATTTTAATACAGAAATTTGATATTTGAACCTTATAAGCTTTGTGTTTTTAAAGTAAGTGTAGTTTTCAAAAACCAGGAAATGGAGTTTTAACGGAACTCGCAATCGTCTGCATTCTAACATATAAATTGTATTTTTTTTTGTACGCATATTTGTTACAATTCTAATACCATTCGGGAATATATACTTTTTAACACATCTTCTCAAACATAATTTATTAGAAGGCATTAAAATTACACAATCCACCAAACAGTATAGACGTCGAGTAAGTTTTTGTTAAGAATAAGGGGTAAAAAGATTATACTTTGGATATTAGTTTACAGTTCCAATTTGTTATTAAAATAATTGTATTTAATATAGTGAACTTAATTTTAAGGTTAGTGCTAAAACTATTTGATGGTATTTTGTTTTGAAAGAGACTTAAGAGAAAGCCAGTAATAGCAAAAACATATGCAGATTAATATAAATGGTATAAATAAAAACATAAATAAACAATTTGTCTTCACATTTCCCCTTAATTATAATTAAAAAAAAGACAAATACAATATATATTTGCGTTGTTGTGGAACAATGTATAGCAAAGTTACAATTTTTAGGTCACATGTAGAATTTTAATCCTACACAATATTAATGTATACTATTGAAATACATTATATGTGTTTTGTAAAGGGAGTCGTCACAAAATTTGACAATGATTTTCAGTATCCATACAACGCAGCATCAAGAAACGGGGCAAAATATTTCACGGAGCTTACAAAAAGTGACTAACGTACGGCAAACTATTCGTTTTTTAAATGAGTATATATTGAAAAATATTGAATAAAACTCGAAGAATTTTAAAAAATAAAAAAATTAATTTAATGTATATTTAAACGTAAAAAGGCATTCCAAATATAACTTTCCATGTATTTTGAAAGTGATCAAACTGCGTGTGTTTTTGAGGCAAGGCATGCGGATAAGGAGGATAGAATTAAATTCCTTGATTGGGTTTCCTTACCATCGATGAATCCATTTTCTTGTTTTCCTTAAGAACTCGTGTTTCAATCGTTGGCATTTGTATTGCCCTAGAATTTGCATGCGTTTTTGATGCAGGAAATGCAGAAAGAATTTCAATAAGGCTACGATCTTAGAACGGCTTCTTTCTTGCATACCAATCAGTACTTTTATTTTATGTATACTCACGCCATCTCGAAGCATAAAATATTTTATTGGAATTACGTCTTCAACATAGATTCTTGCATTAAGATAGTGCTAATCGATGCTCAAAATGATTGAAAACAGAAATCATATGCAGAAGGCAATATTTGTTAAATGCGTTTGGATATGAAAAATATTATTAAATTCCACGCTTGTTTTTAGTCACGATCGAAACCATACTGTGTTTTTCCAGGAGATATTTGTTGGTCTCTACAAACTGCGTGTGTTTTTGAGGCAAGGCATGCGGAAAAAATCTACCAATTCATACAAATTTAGTTTGGGAATGTATGTAATATTTTATTGGAATTACGTTTTCAACATAGATTCTTGAATTAAGTAAGTGTTAATCGGTGCTGAAAATGTTTAAAAATAGAAGCTGAAGTTATTTTCAGAAGCCAACATTTGTGAAATACCTTTGGATATGAAAAATATTATTTAATTCCTCGCTTGTTTTTTTCTCACGAACGAAAAATAAATTTTGTGATTTCCTTGCACAGCAGACAATATTTCTTAATCGCTTTTGGATATGAAAGATAGAATTTAATTTTTTGATAGGGTTTCCTCAACATCGACGAATCCATTTTGTTGTTTCCCCGAAGACTCGTATTACACTTGTTGACAGTTGTATTTCCCTTGAAATTGACAAAAATTTTAAATATACTTCGAAATGGTGTGAGTATACATAAAATAACAATATTGATAGGTATGCAAGAAAGAAGCCGTTCTAAGATCGTAGTCTAATAGGAAATTTTCCAGCTTTTCTTGAAATTAAGGAATTAAATTCTATCTTCCATACACATAAGCGTTTAAGAAATATTGCCTGCTAAATATGACTTCTGCTCCTATTCCCAATCAAAATTTGTATGTAAGGATAGATTTGTCCCCATACTTTGCTTCAAAAAACACACGCAGTCTCAAGAGACGTACACATGTTTCCAGGATAAGGCAAGAATCTATGTTAAGTCCGATGTCCGATAAGATATTTTATAATTTGAAATCCAATCAAAGACTAAATTCTATCTTTCATATCCAAAACGTTTAAAAAATACTGCCTGCTGAAGATGACTTCTTCTCCTATTCCCAAACTAAATTTGTATGAATTGGTAGATTTTTCCCCATGACTTTCCTCAAAAACACACGCAGTTTCAAGAGACCTACAAAAATATCTCCAGGATAACCTCAGGATGTGTTTTCGATCGTGACTAAAAACAAGCGAGGTATTATATAATATTTTTCATATTCAAACACATTTTACAAACATTGCCTTCTGTTTTCAAACATTTTGAGCACCGATTAGCACAAACTTAATGCAAGAATCTATGTTGAAGTCGTAATTCCAATAAATTATTATATACTCCGAAATGGCGTGATTATACATAAAATAAAAGTACTGATAGGTATGCAAGATAGATGCCGTTCTAAGATCGTCGTCTAATTGAAATTCTATCCGTATTTCCTGCATCAAAAACATTAAGATTAAGATAGTGCTAATCGATGCTCAAAATGTTTGAAAATAGAAATCATATGTAGAAGGCAATATTTGTTAAATGCGTTTGGATATGAAAAATATTTTTAAATTCCACGCTTGTTTTTAGTCACGACCGAAACCATACTGTGTTTATCCAGGAGATATTTGTTGGTCTCTTCAAACTGCGTGTGTTTTTGAGGCAAGGCATGCGGAAAAAATCTACCAATTCATACAAATTTAGTTTGGGAATGTATGTAATATTTTATTGGAATTACGTTTTCAACATAGATTCTTGCATTAAGTAAGTGTTAATCGGTGCTGAAAATGTTTAAAAATAGAAGCTGAAGTTATTTTCAGAAGCCAACATTTGTTAAATACTTTTGGATATGAAAAATATTATTTAATTCCTCGCTTGTTTTTTCTCACGAACGAAAAATAAATTTTGTGATTTCCTTGCACAGCAGACAATATTTCTTAATCGCTTTTGGATATGAAAGATAGAATTTAATTTTTTGATAGGGTTTCCTCAACATCGACGAATCCATTTTGTTGTTTCCCCGAAGACTCGTATTACACTTGTTGACAGTTGTATTTCCCTTGAAATTGACAAAAATTTTAAATATACTTCGAAATGGTGTGAGTATACATAAAATAACAATATTAATAGGTATGCAAGAAAGAAGCCGTTCTAAGATCGTAGTCTAATAGGAAATTTTCCAGCTTTTCTTGAAATTAAGGAATTAAATTCTATCTTCCATACACATAAGCGTTTAAGAAATATTGCCTGCTAAATATGACTTCTGCTCCTATTCCCAATCAAAATTTGTATGTAAGGATAGATTTGTCCCCATACTTTGCTTAAAAAAAAAACACGCAGTCTCAAGAGACGTACACATGTTTCCAGGATAAGGCAAGAATCTATGTTAAGTCCGATGTCCGATAAGATATTTTATAATTTGAAATCCAATCAAAGATTAAATTCTATCTTTCATATCCAAAACGTTTAAAAAATACTGCCTGCTGAAGATGACTTCTTCTCCTATTCCCAAACTAAATTTGTATGAATTGGTAGATTTTTCCCCATGACTTTCCTCAAAAACACACGCAGTTTCAAGAGACCTACAAAAATATCTCCAGGATAACCTCAGGATGGGTTTTCGATCGTGACTAAAAACAAGCGAGGTATTATATAATATTTTTCATATTCAAACACATTTAACAAATATTGCCTTCTGATTTCAAACATTTTGAGCACCGATTAGCACAAACTTAATGCAAGAATCTATGTTGAAGTCGTAATTCCAATAAAATATTTTATACTTCGAAATGGTGTAAGTATACATAAAAAAGTACTGAAAGGTATGCAAGAAAGACGCCGTTCTAAGATCGTGGTCTGATTGAAATTCTATCCGTATTTCCTGCATCAAAAACGCATGCAATTTCAAGGGTACTACAACTGCCAACATATGAAACACGAGTTCTTAAGGAAAGCAAGAGAATGTATTCATCGATGGTGAGGAAACCCAATCGGGAAATTAAAATCTATCTTTCATATCCAAAACGTTTGAAAAATATTGCCTGCTAAATACGACTTTTTCTCCTATTCCCAAACTAAATTTGTATGAATTAGCAGATTTTTCCCCATGACTTTCCTTAAAAACACACGCAGTTTCAAGAGACCCACAAATATCTCCAGGATAACCTCAGGATGGGTTTTCGATCGTGACTAAAAACAAGCGAGGTATTAAATAATATTTTTAATATTCAAACGCATTTAACAAACATTGCCTTCTGTTTTCAAACATTTTGAGCACCGATTAGCACAAACTTAATGCAAGAATCTATGTTGAAGTCGTAATTCCAATAAAATATTTTATACTTCGAAATGGTGTGATTGTACATAAAATAAAAGTACTGATAGGTATGCAAGATAGACGGCGTTCTAAGATCGTCATCTAATTGAAATTCTATCCTTATTTCCTGCATCAAAAACATATGCAGTTTTAAGGGTAATACAACTGCCAACATGTGCAACACGAGGTGTTAGGGAAAACAGCAAAATGGATTCATCGATGGTGAGGAAACGCAATCAGGGACTTAAATTCTATCTTTCATATCCAAAACGTTTAAAAAATACTGCCTGCTAAAGATGACTTCTGCTCCTATTCCCAATCTAAATTTGTATGTAAGGATAGATTTACCCCCATACCTTGCATCAAAAGCACACGCAGTTTCAAGAGGCCTACAAATATCTCCCGGATAACCTCAGGATGGGTTTTCGATGGTGAATAAAAACAAGCGAGGTATTAAATACTATTTTTTATATTCAAACACATTTAACAAATATTGCCTTCTGTTTTCAAACATTTTGAGCTTCGATTAGCATTAAATTAATCCAAGAATCTATGTTGAAGACGTAATTTCAATAAAATATTTTATATTTCGAAATGGTGTGAGTATAAATAAAAGAACTGATAAGTGTGCAAGAAAGAAGCCGTTCTAAGATCGTGGTCTGATTGAAATTCTATCCGTATTTCCTGCATTAAAAACGCATGCAATTTCAAGGGTAATACAACTGCAAACATATGAAGTACGAGCTCTTAAGGAAAAGGAAACAATGGATTCATCGATGGTGAGGAAACCCAATCAAGGAATTTAATTCTATCTTTCATATCCGAAAGCGTTTAAGAAACATTGCCTGCAAAAGATGACTTCTGCTCCTGTTCCCAATCCAAATTTGTATGTAATGATAGGTTTGTCCTCAGACGTACACATATTTCCAGAATAATGCAAGAAATTATGTTGAAGACATAATTCCAATAAGATATTTTATACTTTGAAACCCAATCAAAGAATTAAATTCTATCTTTCATATCCAAAACGTTTAAAAAAATATTGCCTGCTAAAGATGACTTCTTCTCTTATTCCCAAGCTAAATTTGTATGAATTGGTAGATTTTTCCCCATGACTTTCCTCAAAAACACACGCAGTTTCAAGAGACCTATAAATATCTTCATGATAACCACAAGATGGATTTTTCGATCGTGAGGAAAAATAGCTAGGAATTAAATAATATTTTTCATATCCAAATGCATTTAACAAATATTGCCTTCTGGATATGACTTCTGCTTCTCTATTCAAACATTTTGAGCACCGATTAGCACAAAGTTAATGCAAGAACAGACATTGAAGACGTAATATTATGCTTCCAAATGGTGTGAGTATACATAAAATAAAAGTATTGATATGTATGCAAGAAAAAAGCCGATCTAAGATCGTGGTCTAATTGAAAATGTTCCCGCTTTTCCTGCAATCAAGAAATTTAATTCTATTCTTCTAATCCAAAAGCGTTTAAGAAATATTTACTGCTAAAGATGACTTCTACTCCTATTCCCAATCTAAATTTGTATGTAAGGATAGATTTATCCCCATACCTTGCATCAAAAACACACGCAGTCTCAAGAGAAGTACAAATATCTCCAGGATAACCGCAGGATGGCTTCTATTTGGTTTTTAAAAAAGTTGCCAAACTTATGGACGGCCGCGTTCGAATTATGATGCCAGACCACTTTCACCCGATTCACACGAGCAGATAAAAACTTGTTTGTGCGTTGATTTAATTCAAGGTTACGGCTTAACTGAAACCACATCGGGAGCAACGGTTATGGATTGTAATACAAGTTTTGAAACTTGCTTTCATTTAATAAAATCGCTCAACTTTTGTTTTTTATAGATCGCGATATGCAGTATGGTCGTGTTGGCGCCCCATTAACAGTTTGTGATATACGCTTAGTCAATTGGGAAGAAGGAGGGTACCGAGTCACAAATAAACCCAATCCCCAAGTATGTGTATCCAATGAAATTTATTACAAGAAAAATCAACTCTTCCTCTTTTTAGGGAGAAGTTCTTGTTGGGGGTGAATGTGTTTCCATGGGTTATTATAAGCTACCAAACAAAACAGCCGAAGAGTTCTTTGAAGAAGATGGAAAACGCTGGTTCAAAACCGGAGATATTGGTGAAATGCATCCAGATGGCGTACTTAAAATTATTGGTAAAGCCAGTTAAAATTTATGATTTTGCTTGAGAAATTAAGTATTTTTTTTCCGTTTCAGATCGCAAAAAGGACTTGGTCAAGCTGCAAGCTGGTGAATACGTTTCCCTTGGAAAAGTAGAATCGGAGCTTAAGACATGTCCACTGGTTGAAAATATTTGCGTATATGGTGATCCTACCAAGCAGTTTACTGTTGCTCTAGTTGTACCCAATCAGAAGCACTTGGAAGAGTTATCTCTTCGTCATGGTCTTGAAGGCAAAACATTTGAAGAGCTTTGCTCGAGTTCAGAAATTGAAAAGGCAGTTATTAAAGAAATCGCTGAACATGCTCGCAAATGTATGTACGAAATACAAATAATAATGGATCCTGCGTTAACTATCGCCTTTTCAATTTTTAGGTAAACTTCAAAAGTTCGAAGTCCCCGCTGCCATTACACTCTGCAAGGAAGTCTGGTCACCAGACATGGGGCTTGTAACTGCTGCTTTTAAACTGAAGCGCAAAGACATTCAAGACAAATATCAGCACGACATCAATCGCATGTATGCCTCATGAAATTGACTAAACAACTAGGTGCAGTTTTAGCCGGTAACAAGTATGCACTACACGAAAAGTTTATTCGTGTACTGTCTTTAATTTTTCATACATCACGATCTAATATGGATCAAAACAATTTCTCATTGAATGAAAATTTTAGTACAGCAATATTAGGAACACAAAATTATTTATTAATCTATACAAATACCAATAATACTACCATTTCAAATTGTACACGCATGTTCTAAATTTCATACCGAAACTACACTTCCTTATTACGCTTTGAACTTAAATATAAAAAGTTAATGGTAAAAATAGAACAATGAAAAAAAATTATTATTTTATGTAAAGTTTCAAACACACAGAAGGTCTTATGAATTCATTTTAGTTCTTCTTTCATAGCTATAATCACTCTTAAACAATTGTTTTCTGCTTAACATGAAAACATAGTGCGAATTAACACAGCGCAACTTGGATAACGTGAAAGACATATTTTTGAAATTGTTTAAATTACTTCAAGTTTGATTAAGTGAATGCTGAATTACTAAATTAATTAGTATTGGGCACATTTTCTTTATTAATTTATATTTGTAAATTTATTATCAAATGCATTAACCACCTATTTCATAACAAAAATTTAGTCTGTCTGTGTACAGTGCGTATTGTTAAAATCATAAGCAACTTTTTTGGATTAAACGCTTGCAATAATTATGCGGTTCACATTTTTAATATTGTCTTAAGAAACATGTTTTAATACAGTAATTTGATATTTGAACCTTATAAGCTTTGTGTTTATAAAGTTAGTGCAGTTTCCAAAAACCAGGACATGGCGTTTTAACGGAACTCGCAATCGTCTGCATTCTAACATATAAATTGTATTTTTTGTACGCATATTTGTTACAATTCTAATACCATTAGAGAATATATATTTTTAACACATCTTCTCAAACATAATTTATTAGACGTCGAGGAAGTTTTTGTTAAGAATAAGGGATAAAAAGATTATACTTTGGATATTAGTTTACAGTTCCAATTTGTTATTAAAATAATTGTATTTAATATAGTGAACTTAATTTTAAGGTCAGTGCTAAAACTATTTGATGGTAGGGTAAGCACTTTTTATTTTTAAGCCCAAATAAATGAAACTTTTACAACTAAATGTATTTTGTTTACTTCAAATATATTGTCAGCTATCTTTGTGTACAATTTCGCTAAGAAAAGATGATTTATTCTAATAAAAATTAAATTTTTGTCTGTGAAGGTCCTCAACAATCCATATTCTTAAAAAAAGTACAATAAAGACGTCGAATCAGTTTAACTAAACAAAAATATTATATTTTAATGAATTAATTTACAAAAAAAATTTGTATGCCGACTGTTGGAACATGCCATACCGACAATTGGCAAGTGGTGCCGACTACTGGCAAAAAGCATTGTTTTAATAAAACTACAAATTTATGAAATTTAAAAAAAAGTTATTAAAATTTTATTTATTATTGCAAAAACTATACAAAATTTCGAATCTGAATAAATTAACTTTGTAATAATTGAAAAGTTCCACTCAGAATGGTGAGCGATTAAAAACGCGAAAATCCTAAAAGTGTCGACTACTGGTACACTTAAAAACCATCAATGTTAAAAACGCATTTTTGTGATCGAAAATAAACTCCGGTCAAATTTTCGGAAATCATTTGATTTTTGGAGGAGAATGGTAAAGTTGTTATTCACTATGCGGCCATATAGAGGCTCATCGGAAAAAGCAGCTTGGCAGTACATTGCATGGCGCCCTAGAAGGGATGTCATAATGATGCAAAAGCATAATATTCAATTTCTAAATGTCTTATGAATATATATTTTTTAGAGATGCTAAGCTAATAATTTTTTGCGTTGGTTACCGAAGGCAAGTATATGATTTGAAAGGTCATGGCCAGTATTTTATTGAAATAACGTTTTAATGTTATTGGGGACCGCTAAAAGTGAATGTTGGGAAATTCGAATTTTCTTTGATGTCAATCTTAAACACACCTTCTAAATTAATATTTGGTGCTTTGAACTCGTTCAGCGAATCCTATAAAGGTATGCTCTATAATAATTCCTTTGTTCCCCTTCTTAGTAGTGAGTAAATAAAACTTTCAAATATTGCAGTCATGTACAGGTTTAACCAGGGTGATCAAGTTTGAAAAACACAATTTAGAATTCGTGATACTTCTAAGTTATTAACTAGAAATGCAACTAGGTTTTCTGTTTAAATTACTCCTTACTCAAGCTTTTTAAAAAGAAGAAGATACTGTTAAAAATGAATAGAAGTTTTTACCTTACGATTTGACAATTTGCTTTTCGTAAACGTTGTTGATATAAATTTTAAAGTGAACGAAATTGGCAAATGTTTCAAATTATTTATTACATTATCATTTAGAATATTCGCGCACATTTCCTATTTATTCTTAAGGTCGATTTGGCTAAAAGTAAACAGTCTTTGATTTTTCGAACTACATGAGTTAAGGTAGCGTTGAATTGTGTTTCACTGTCTTGTATTACAATCTTTGCTTTTGATATATCGACGTAGTACGTTGAATGTTGTTTGTCATTTTGTCTTTTTTTTCGAGAAAGTTTAATATAAAACGTATCATTCCATGTTTTGTTATTTGTATTTTTTGCCTGTTAAAGGTTTCAAATATATATTACTTCCTTATTTAACAATTTTTTTATCAATTAACAATAAATTACTCGATTTTATTTAGTAAAATATTGTGTTTCATATCTTTTATTCCTTTGGCCATGATGTCTTGTTGTTGCTATCACATGTTAATATCATACCAAAAGATAGTTATCGTAAGGAATAATTTTGTCAGAAAATATAGTAGTCATAATTAATTTTACGGAAACACGTTTGTATTTTCCGAACTAGACAATCGTTCTTATTTGCCTCCGAAAATATGTACACCAAATTTTGAGCTGTGTTGCACATATTTAAACAATGAGCGATATCATATTGATCCATGTCTTGTGGTAGGGCATGGGTAAACTGCTTCACGGAGCTCATCATCAACATCCTCAATGTTTTTTATGAATCACTAAGAGCTCTTGTTTCACTTGTTAACAGTAGTATTACCCTTAAAATTGCATGCATTTACGATGCAGGAAAAGCGGCAAAAATTTCAATTGGACCACGATCTAAGATCGGTTTTTTCTTGCACACTTATCAGTTTTTTTATTTATACTCACACCATTTCGAAATATAAAATATTTATCGCAATTATGTCTTCAACATAGATTCTTGCATTAATTTAATGCTAATCAATGCTCAAAATGTTTGAAAACGGAAGCAGAAGTCATATCTAGAAGGGAACATTTGTTAAATGCGTTTGAATTTGAAAGATATTATTTTTTTCCTCGCTTGTTTTTCCTCACGATCGAAAAATCAATTTTGTTGTTTCTTTAAAAGTACCTGTAATCCTCTTGAATTTGTACGTGCTATTTGATGCAGAACATGCAAATTAAATATTAATTAATCTACCATCTTAGAACTGCTTCTAATTGTCATATTTACTATAACATTTATTAATGCATACTCAAACCATTTCAAAGTGTATATAATGTTTTATTAGAAAGCCATTTTCAGCATCGATTCTTGCAAAAATTGTTGTTAATCTGTGCTCAAAACATTGGAAATATAAGCAGGATACATTTTCAGTAGGCACTTTTTCTTAAATGCTTGGACATGAGTGATAGAATTTAGTGCCTGGTTGGCTTATCTCACAATCGAAGAATCCATCTTGTTGTTATCCTAGAGATATTTGTACTTCTCTTGAGACTGCGTGTTTTTGAGGCAAAGTATGAGGACAAATCTATCCTTACATACATATTTAAATTGGGAATAGGAGCAGAATTCATATTTAGCAGCCAATACTTCGTATCAGTTCTTTTATTTATACCCACACCATTTCGATATATAAAATATTTTATAGGAATTACGTCTTCAACATAGATTCTTGCATTAATTTAATGCTAATCCATGCTTAAAATGTATGAAAACAGAAAAAGAGGTCATATCTATAAGGGAATATTTGTCAAATGCGTTTGAATATGAAAAATACTATTTAATTCCTCTTCTGTTTTTTCTCACAATTGAAAAATCCATTTTGTTGTTTCTTTAAAAGTAACTGTAATCCTCTTGAATTTGTACGTGCTATTTGACACAGGACATGCAAATTAAATTTTAATTAGTCTACGATTTTAGAACGGCTTCTAATTGTCATATTTCCTATTACATTTATTAATGCATACTCAAACCATTTCAAAGTGTATATAAAGTTTTATTAGAATGCCATTTTCAACATCGATTCTTGCAAAATTGTTGTAAATCTGTGCTCAAAAACATTGGAAATATAAGCAGGATACATTTTCAGTAGGCCCTATTTCTTAAATGCTTGGACATGAGTGATAGAATTTAGTGCCTGGTTGGCTTATCTAACAATCGAAGAATCCATCCTGTGGTTATCCTGGAGATATTTGTACTTCACTTGAGACTGCGTGTGTTCTTGATGCAAAGTATGGGGATAAATCTATCCTTACATACAAATTTAGATTGGGAATAGGAGCACAAGTCATATTTAACAGTCAATATTTCTTAAACGCTTTTGGATATGAAAGATAGAATAAAATTTCTTGATTGGGTTTCCTCACCAACAATGAATACATTTTCTTGTTTTCCTTAAGAGCTCGTGCTTCATATGTTTGCAATTGTATTACCCTTGAAATTGCATGCGTTTTTAATGCAGGAAATACGGATAGAATTTCAATCAGACCACGATCCATTTTTATTAGAATGCCATTTTCAACAACGATTCTTGCAAAATCGTTGTTAATCTGTGCTCAAAAACATTGGAAATATAAGCAGGATATATTTTCAGTAGGCACTATTTCTTAAAGGCATGGACATGAGTGATAGAATTTAGTGCCTGGTTGGCTTATCTCACAATCGAAGAATCCATCCTGAGGTTATCCTGGAGATATTTGTACTTCACTTGAGACTGCGTATATTTTTGATGCAAGGTATGGGGACAAATCTATTCTTACGTACAAATTTAGATTGGGAATAGGAGCAGAATTCATATTTAGCAGTCAATATTTCTTAAACGCTTTGGATATGAAAGATAGAATTAAATTTCTTGATTGGATTTCCTCTCCATCGATGAATACATTTTCTTGTTTTCCTTAAGAGCTCGTGCTTCATATGTTTGCAATTGTATTACCCTTGAAATTTCATGCGTTCTTAATGCAGGAAATACGGATAGAATTTCAATCAGACCACGATCCACTTTTTTTGTTCCTTTAAAAGTACTGTAATCCTCTTGAACTTGTACCATTTTGTTGTTTCCCCGAAGACTCGTATTACAGTAGGCACTATTTCTTAAAGGCTTGAACATGAGTGATAGAATTTAGTGCCTGGTAGGCTTATCTCACAATCGAAGAATCCATCCTGAGGTTATCCTGGAGATATTTGTAGTTCACTTGAAACTGCGTATGTTTTTGATGCAAGGTATGGGGACAAATCTATTCTTACGTACAAATTTAGATTGGGAATAGGAGTAGAATTCATATTTAGCAGTCAATATTTCTTAAACGCTTTGGATATGAAAGATAGAATTAAATTTCTTGATTGGGTATGGGGACAAATCTCTTCTTACGTACAAATTTAGATTGGGAATAGGAGCAGAATTCATATT